TTGCTGTTTTAAGCCTTTCTCACAGACTGTATTAAACCTGACCCAGGTCTGAAGAGACAGAATGGAAGTGCTCTGTTGTACATGAGGATGAATTGCATCTCACGGGGACAAGAGGACAAAGCTGCATTCGGACCCCATGGGACCACAGTGGCAGTGGCCCTGGCTGAACCTTGGATCTCCAATTCCAGTGCTCAAACTCACCCATCTGTGATACAACGAAGCTGAAAAAACTTTGGAGTGGGCATCATGATACGGTGCTGCATGCACAACCCCACACAGCTGATATATTGGGATGGAAGTAGTGGGAATGCAGGGCAGATAAGGGACACGTACAGCCGGAGGGGGCAAGCCAAAGGGGGATCCAATGGATCCAACAGGGGATCCAACAGAAAGGTAAATGTGCCTTGATGCAAGAGGCTATGCTGGGTGTCACCACTAAAGGAAAGCACCTCTGTGAATGTTGGGGCTCCAAACCTGTCCAGGGAAAATGTAAGGCATGAGCAAGAGCCCCAGGTCATGGAGAGACAGACAACCACACTTTTTTCAGTGGTGGGGAGTCAAGTAGATATTCCCATGGCATAGCTAAGCACCACCTTGTTGCCATCCCATAACTGTTTCTGAAGTAATTTCCCTGTGGATGTCTTCCTGTGGCTCTTCCTTACCTCATTCCTACAGTCTCCGGCCACAGAGTGTTTCCGTCACTTTTTGAAGCTCCAGACCCGTGTTTCAGACCTGCTTTCAGAGTTTTATCGCCCATGTACCTACCCTGCCTGTGTTTTGTTTACTGAGAGTGTGATTGGAGAGCTGACATGGTGCTGTGTTCTCTGATTGAGAGGAGAATGACAAATTACTTTAGCAATCATTTATTGAGTACCGAAGATACAGAAAACCTAACAGAGATAACAATGTCCTGGAGATTAAATTCTCCAATAGAGAGACCTCACTTAATAGTTAGGTTAGTAAATATTTTCTCATCGGTTTTCCCTCAAACTCCATCCCCCCACTCTGAGAGAGCAGGTGAGAGTTGGGAACATCCTTTCATCTTTACAAGATACAACAGACCCCGAGTAGAGCCATGAACATCATTGCCCTGCCTGCCCACCAGGCAGAAAGCTTCCAGTCACCAAACCTCCCCCAACAGCCCCTGTTGGGCTTTTGCTGACTCTGGTGCTGGAGCAACTTTTGGTACTTGAATGTCCAAAGCTGGGGTAGGCACAGCTGTCACTTCAGATGAACACAGTCACAGAAACACTGAGGAGATGTTTTGCTTCTCTACTGCTTGTGTGTATCCAGCATCTCTCATGTCTTCTCTGACCTCCTCGCCAGGAGCATCCAGGGGAAGATCTTTTGGAACTCATTCGTGCTGAACTTCAGGGCAAACTTGAACCTCTACAGCCACACAGTGAATATAGGAAAGCATAGACATTGGAAAGCAGTAGTACAGATAGATACAGAAAAACAGTCAGGAGGGTTTCTTTACAGTGAAACACAATTCCTGGGGGTTTTTTAGCTTGTTAGCATCTTTGGGTTCTGCATCTTTCAGCTCTTGTATGCAGAAGGCAGGTTCCTACTTGCCACCTGGACAAGGTAGCCTCAGACTACCAGCATCCAGAGACTGATGGCCTTGGTAAAAAAGGTAAGGTCTCTTTGCCATTGTCCATCTCTCCTTGCTCATGAGGGAGCCAGGATCCCAAGGGAATCCCCTGAAAACACTGGTCCTGGCAGGAGACATCTGAGCTTTCAGTAGCTTTGAATGGGAAGAGTACCAGGACAGATGACCTGTCAAGCTGAAACCCACCAGGAAAGCAGAATATCAGTGCCTAGTTGAAGGCCCAGTGCTGGAAATGGCTACAGCCCCTCACTGCAGTGAAAGAAGCAGCAGGAAAGTGGAAGACAGAGATCTTCACAGAGCAAACCACTTCTGGGTGAAGGCAAAAGGGTGGCCAACCTTCAAGAGAACTGATGAATGTAATCTCCTCAAAGACAACAGTGGTGTTTGAAATACCCCCAGGTAGCACCTGAAGCACTTGTTATTATCACGTCTTATTTGCCTCTGTCTCCTGGGTTGCAAGGGCCAAGGATGCTTTCCTATTTTCCAGCCATGACTCCTACATCTCTCTATGAACAGATGTGCTGTTCAACACAGAGGCCAAAGATACTGCGCCAGGACACAGAAACAGAGCTCTGCCCCTGGCCCCCCAGACAACCCTGGGTGGGCCTTTTGCTCATCCATGACCCTACTTTGTGCAATGGAAGCACTGCAGGCAGCACTTTATGGAACACTTTGACACGTGCTGATGACAAGCGCTGTATGAGGGCTGGCTCTTATGACTAAGCTGGGAAAGGTTTACTGAGGTTCCCCACACTGCAGCTCATCAGTTTCTGTTAATTGAACCTCTTCTAGAGACTTCTCAGCACAATGGGAACGTGACTGGCACTTCACTGCAATTGCTCACTTTAAACAGATAGCAACATTAATGAAGGTGGGTCAGAGCCCTCATACATCTCATGAAACGGACTTTCTCACATATACTTCATAACAGAAGCACAATGATTGTGTTTATTTTAAGCCCACATTATGTCTCTTACAACAGTGCATGCAGCCTTCACTCTGTAAATTTCCTGGTGCAGAGTGAATGAATCCCTACCCTCACACAGACTACCACAGGCTCTGGAGGTTTTTGCTTTTCCACAGATGCTTCCAGTTTCCTTCAAGACAGTGCTTTCTGAGAGCAGGACACGCAAAGGTTCAAGAGAGCACCATCAGATCAGATGATACATCAGCACCACGTACCTTCAGTAGGTGTGTTACTTCAGGATGAGCTCCATTCCCCAGCAGTTTTGTGCTGGGACAGCCAAAGCCTGTAGGAACCAGCCCAGTATGAGGAAGCTGCTTTTGTGGTGCTTTCTTGACTCTTAGCAGTGTCACCACCCCTGATCAATGCTTACAATTGTATCTGCAAACCCATAGCCAGAAGCCTGTGTGGGTGCAGTCAGCAGACCAGTCTCCATCAGTGGCTAGGAGCTATCACAAGACTAGCTACCCAATGTGACACACTACCTGTGTCCTGCTGGATTTTTGCATGGGAATGGCAGCATCTCATGGTATTCCCCTTGGGTGCCAGCAATGCCCATCACTCCCTGAATGCCCTTCTAAAGTCCTGTTGCCTTCAGTATGCAGTTACAGGATCCCTGATCATGTTGGGGATGACAACACTCATTCTGTCAAGATGGTTCTCGTATGGACTATGCCAAAAAAAAAAAAACAAACAATGCTCAGTGGTGGCACCAACCATGCCTGATGTGGGCATGTAACCGTGCTTGTGTATAATAGCATGCTGAGGCAGAAGCTGGAATTACATTCCTCCAGACAGCCATTCTGTAGGAGAGAGAATAGGACATGCTATTTAATGCTATGCATTAAAAAGCACTTATCCTGCCAAAACCAACATTAGAATAGCACATAAACATTGCTGTCGTAATCTCCATGGAGCTGTGGAGTCCAAATCGGAGATCTTCAGCCTCTGGGAACCTGGAAAGGTGGGATGGGAAAACAAAAAGAAAACAGCATACTGACACATCTCTGACATATATAAACTCATGCTGATCATAGATGCAGCTTGCATGGAAACAACAGGTAAGTGTGCAGCAACAAGTGTGCAACCAACTAACACCTCAGCAGGTCCCAGGAGATCTAACCCAGGGCAATATGGTACTCCTGCTTCCTTTTAACCAGAAACTGCTTGGAGAGTATAAATCCAGTCAACACACGAGCATTCCCAATGCCCAGCAAAAGGATACTATTTGCATTGTGCTTTCATTACTTTTTTTAGCAGCATCTCTAGCCCTGTCCTCTCCAGCAGGACTTTGTGCCTCGGGGACCTGGGAAAACATGCAAGACAGGAAAAATACGTTTTAATCCAGCCATGAGCCTGTCCAAAATGTTGGTAAGGAGGCAGTCAGTGATGACACCAAGGTGAAGTTAAGCATCTCCAGTGGCAGCTGCAGGGAGGACAGCTGGCATGGAAGGAATGTTTTGGCAACCCAGATCAGAAGCTGTAATGTCCTCAAAAGGAGTGTTATAATTTCTGCTGCTATTTCCACAGCATTGCAGCAAATACAGGGGTGCTGTAGTGAAATGTGGGCTAGCAGGGGTTGACTTTATAGGTTAGAAATGAAATCTGTGCTGCCTTTTTCGAGTCTTTGGTTTATGTGTAAGTGTACTGGAGAAATAAAGAAAAACAAGGACTGATGGGTTGGGGTTTGGAGGAATTGACTGGAAAAATAATCAGAACTCACTTTTCAGATGCAAACCTTACCTGCAGCAGAACTGTGCCCTCACACCTGTTACATGTGGATTATTTTTTAGTTTGAGTTTCAGCCTTTAATTAATTCAGTAGATGTTGCTGGTTATAGGCTTCTTCCGCCTCAAACCAGAAGTAAGCAAGCAGCCCCAACACTTCTCCATAAAGAACATGCAATGCTGGCATCCCCACAGTTCCTTGAAACTGATGGAAATTTGCAGAAGTCAATATTTTCTATAATTAATTGCTAATAATTTTAATAAAAATTATTTGTTATACAAAAATCTGGGTGTTTCCACATGTGAATATATTCATGTTTTTCCTGTGTGACTTTTCTAGTCATAAGCAACTGTGATCAAAGGAAAAATGCGTTCAGGAATGCTCTAGTGGACTGAGAATGAAGGAAGATATCATGAGCTCCAGGTCCACATGGTCACTCAGAACTTTGTGTGAACATTAAATGAGCTTGTAGCCTCATAAGGAATAAGACAAGAAATTAAATGAGTCCTTACTTTCTTGCCTACCTGCAACAGAGTTAACTGCCTGCCTTGGTAGTCTTTACCTGCAAGCTCAGGGACAGCCACTAGGGCTGAGCTGGGTCCTGCTTTCTCTAACTTCTGTCTCCTCAATATGCCTGTGCACATCCATCATCACCGTGGAATCCCTCAGGAACTCCTCAGGACACCAAGTGCCATTTGTCCCACATGGCTGACTCACAGTGGTTTGATGCCAGCAACTCCCAGGTTCAAGCATTTCGGACCTGGATTGGGTGACCAGCTTTTAATACAGTAAATAGCATCTGGAAATGCATACTCCTTAAAGGACTTTTGCAACCTCAGGTTCCATCACTGCTGTCAAATACACCATCTTGCAGAAGGGGGAGCTTCCTCCCACTTCGTTCCATCTCTGCTTTATAGGTGAAAAGACTCACCTCTGGAAACGCTCACACTGGGGGAGCCAGAAGACCTTAAAAACAAGGAGAAGAAATAACAGATTTACCAGCAAACACAAGAAACACAGGAGGGGACACACATACAAGCATCCCTTAGGTGTACTAGCACTGCAAGAGGAAGTCATCAATGCAGAATAGACTTGTGTACACTTTCCAGGCATCTCTCTGCTGCACAACTCTCTCATCTATAAAATGGGAACAATGATACTATCCCCACAACTATATGACATGAAATGTGCAAAGGAAATAATTACAGATTTGGTGAAAATAAGGCATTTAGTGTTCAGAGTCAGTCCTATGTATTAGCAAAGTCCATAAATCCCCAAAAGATTGAAGGTTTGACAATATCAAAAGGTTGTTGAGAAATAACCCGTTCCTCTGCTTCAAGGTTCATGCTCAGGAGATTGCTTTCTCTGGCTGCAGAGACAATATTTCACTGAGTGGGAATATCTGGAGTGAGTCCTCTTGGGACTTGGATTGAGGAAAAAAAACACATCATATTCAGTGCACTGAAGCATTTTATGACTGAGCTTCAGCGAAAGTCAATACCAACCATTTACTCAGAGACAGGAGTACTCGACGTGCACGTGCATGGTACAGGCCAGCTGTGCAGAGCCCGGAGGTGACGTATCTCGATGTTAACTGATCCAAAGACCTCAGTGCCCCTTATCGTGGAGCAAATAAAAGATTCTGAAGAGTGTTCTGATTTTAAACTCAATTACTCCAAGTTGAAGGCAACACAGCAATTCTTATTATAGAAAAAGAAAAATTAAATCTATTGGATGATATTGAAATAGTGTGTGCATTGCACCAACCATTCAGAAATAGAAACCATTCTCTTGGCTGCAAAATCTTTCCTGTGCCGTTGAGACCCCCCCTTACTGAAAAGCTGCAGGGAAAACCTCTTTCTAGCAGACACCTGAGCCAACCACCCTCACAATTACAAATAGAAGTCTCTTGCCTGAGCCCTTCTCCCTTTCCTCCCACACCTTCTGAGGAGCTCTGCACCTTCCCTGGGTTAAAATTGCCTATGGGGAATAGTTCCCTAATGTCATGGAGCAAACCTTGCATAGTCAGAGGGGAGGATTCGCAGCACCAAGTCTGAAACCTCAAGTAGCAGCACAATTATACTCTTTACTGGTGCAGCTCCAGGAGTATCCAGAAAACCACGGGCAAGCACAGAGTAATTTTATCCTGATATGCCTGTCTAAACAGCAGATAGCTCTTCAGTAGTGTTCTCCCTCACTTGTTAATTTAACGCTTGATATATAGGAAAAATTAGAATCAAAATGTACCCAGCTATTTCCTTCATTCCAGACTCCATTTAGAAATATCTCACATCTCCCCACAAAATGAGATAAAATGCTTGAGACACTTACGAGCTTGTATTTTATTTTTAGATAAACCTCTGTGATTAAGGGTCCTAAATTCCAGCCAAGGCCAGGTTTGCACAGCTCTGACCACAGCACCCGTCACATTCATGTTCCATCACCAGTGTGGGAGGAGAGGCAGGTCTCTGCTGCTTTGGGTGGACAAGCTCCTGAAAGACCACAGGGATGTGGGCCTGTGAAAAACAAGCAGGAAGGTAGGGCTGGCTCCCAAAGAACAAACAGCTGGAGCTGGATTTAACAGCTGACTTTCTGGAGACTTTGGCAGGGTAAGTTACACAAGAAGAGTGCTGCTCCTCTAGCAGTGGGGGCAACAAGGAAAGGAAACCACATGCTTGGCCAGGACACTGAGAGCCTTTCTTTCTCTTTTCCAAGGCTCTCCGAGCAGCAATCATGCACACAGGATGGCATAGAGAAGGTGCCTGACAAGCAAAAGTCATTCCGTGGCTCTCTTGCATGCATCTGCAAGAGGAGAAAGCAAGGATTACACTGGACCCTCGTTAATCCAGGTAGCTGAGACCACAGGGATCACATAAGTGCAAACTTGCACATCTGTCATATGGTTATGAGCCCATATCCTTCAGAGACACTTCTGAGTATTTTTTTAAAGAATGAATTCTTGGGCTGGAGACAAAACAAAAGAAACACTCAGTTTAAAGCATTATGCACAAGCCACAGAAGTGGCCATGGGTCAACGTTAAACTGTACCACCAGAGAAGTGAATTCTGGAATATGTATGTACCTCTCTACAGCCTTGTTTGTTTTTCTCTGTGGCCAAGAAAACAAGTGGAGATGTTTCAGCTTGGAGAGTGTACAGCGGAGATGATGGGTAAGGAATGAAATCCATCCCTTTGAAAACCCATGGAGTTACAGCTTTGACAGTGAGAAAACGTTATCTGCACCCATCTGGATGGGAAGGACACAAGAAAGAAGCATGAAGAGAGGAGAGGAAGAGGCAGAGAGAAAGGTCTGTATTTAGTCCAGATGAGTCAAGTGCAGGGGATGGACTCACGGATTTTCTGGTTGTCCCAAACCGAAGACAGGGTGGACTATGAGACAGGCAGGTATGGAAGTTTGACTGCTTTCCCAAGGCAGCAGGAGAGGGAAATCTATGCAGAAAGGTGTCACCTAGTGCCTTCAAATAACTCATGGAGACCACAGGAAAGGTGATATCCTGGGAGAGGTGTGGAAGGATGGTGATTAGAGAATGGTCTTGTTTTTTCATGAAAACATTGCATTTCATACAGGAAAGACCAATGATAAATCTTGGTTGGGATGACAAAAAATAATGTTGGGGCAAATATGTAAAATTTCTTGGTGAACCAAGTAATCAGTCAATCAACTGATCAAGTGCTTGATCAATAGAAGAGAGCGAAAGACTGCACCAAGGACTGGCAAAGAGCAAGATGATAAAAAGGAATGGAGAAAGGCTACAAAAAATCAATTTAAGAAATGCCCAAACAGTCTATAATGCCTCCTCTCAAGTAACCAGATACCTTCAAATCTTGCAGCATGACCCAGTTGTCCTGGGGATGAACCTACAGTCACCACTTGCTCTGGGGAGTACTAGTTTGCCCATGAAGTGTCCATCTTTAAGAGCACTGAAAGTTTTATACATTTATGGGTTGGACAGTACTGCCAGTGTGTGCCTGGAGAAGGACAAAAGCTGGTACAGCTGCATGAACTTATCCCTTGACAATCTCAGTCTGACCAAGTGTTTCCTTCTTTGCAGAAGGATCTGTGGATGCCAACATATAAGCACCTTTGGAGCCAGCTGTGGAGTTGGACATGGCATCACACTGATGACCAAGAAAAGAGGACCAGGACCAGATGCTGGTAGTCTGGGTGCCGGGGGGCTCTGCCAAGGCCCATCACAGAACACCAGTGACTTCCTGGGGTGTCACAACAGAAGTCAACTTGTCTGCAAAGATCTACAGCAGCCTGTGATATGGAGAAGGGGAACAGAAGGAAATCTGATTTGACAGTAGAACATAGTGCCAAGTGATCACAGCAGAGGTGAGCAATTAATGATAAAACCAAAATCTACATTTGTTTCTATTGCCGGCACAAAATGAGACTATTGCCCTGTCCACATAAAATCAAACACCATCAGAAATTAAACACCTGAGCAGAAATTTCCGTGTTTGCCTGGATCAAAGTCTAAACTGCAAAAAGCAGAGTATCCAAAGCCTTCAGCAGGGGCATGTATATGTCTGAGATGATGAACCACCGGGGCTGTTGGCTCTCTGACTCTGCCTTCAGTCCAGCTCCACTCACACTCAAGGGACTTGGACAGCCTGAGGTTTTTCCAGTTCTGTTCCTATTCAGATCCAAAGGGAGTCTCCAGCTTCCCCAATACCAGATACCACAACATGACCGGACTCACAGACATCAAGCTCCAAAGTAAAACAAGGAGGTTTGCAAAAAAGAAAAAAGCCTGCACATTTCTAAATACATCCACGTAAATACATGTCCCTTTGCTGCACAGCAAGAAGATATACACTCCAGTTAGAAAAATAAATCCTCAGAAGATCTGCCCTTTTAGGAGCAAAAGTCCTACCTGCCCATGATCAACACACAGTTTCCAGCAAGCTCTCCTTGCAAAACTATCATGACCTCAACCTCCCCAGTGCTTTCTCACAATTCAAATTCAACAGCTCCAATGAATATCTGCACTTTCCTGGGGAAGGCATCTCCATTCTCTTCTTTTTATTTCTCTTTCTCTGCTGTGTTACAGCATCCCGCTGGTTTTGCTGGTATAGAAACAGAAAGTTTACTACGATTTCTGTGCAAAGAAAGTACGCAAGTGAGAACCTGTGTTAATGCTATCAAGGCAGGGATGATTAATTTGTAGTTAACATCCATTTACTTTATTATCCCTTCATTGAAGCTTGACAAACGTGAAAGCAACAATGAAAAATACAAATTAATAGGAGCATTAGCACTGAATGCAACCTGCTATACATTTAATCCCCACAGAAGAGCATACAGATGTGTTAGATCTTTCCTAAGAACCTTTTATCCACCTTCTTGTCCTTGGTTGTAAATCTATTTAAATTTAAAGAGATCTATTTATACACACACGTGTCTGTGTGCGTGTCAATACATATGCATGCATATGTGCAGAGCAGATTTTCTCATCAGTTATCAATTAAGGCTGTGAAAACCACTTTGACTAAACTAAAGCACCTGCACAGTTTGACCTTCTGGGTGGTTTCTTTCCAGGCAACAGTTGCTCCCAATATCCCAGTAAGGGAAGTAACCCTGGGGGTCCTGTCCCCACTTAGCCCCACGTTGAAGGGAGTGGCTCAGCTCCATGCAGAATGATTAGTGGGAAGCAGAAACGCCTCTTTTCACACGAGCATCAAGGAGATCTCATACAAAATGGAGGGACAGTATGTGAATGCAAAGCAGATGCTTGTCCACTTTTATGCAGGCATCTCGTCCCACCCTGCAGCTATTTGAACATGAATGTGTGGGCTGTGAGGCCTAGAGGTGATGCTAAAGCATCTTTGTGCCATACCTCCTTCGTACCTCAAGTCAGACTATGTTGCTGCATCAGGGTGAATATCCACAGTGTGGAGTTGTCCAGCGTTTGCACATCCTCAAGACAAAACTGAGGACCTGTGAGGAAACAGAGAATTTCTGTCATTGTTACTTTCCTCGCTGAAATCCTCTTGAAATAAATGCTAGTAAAAGAGCTACTCATCTACCTTTCAAGGTGACCTGCAAATGAAGAAAGGTGGATTTCTAGCCTTATTTTTGGCTTAGTTACAAAGGCCTGAAAAGTTGGCAGGAATTTGAAGCAATGATGGGGTTTTTAATGCCGTCTTCCCCATTTTCCTATTTTATTTTCTTTCTATTTTCCTGATAGAAATTTAGTTCTTACCTTCCCTGACACTCTATGACCAAAAAGACAAAAAAGTGAGATCAAACCATTGCTGAGGACTGACACTGGTACATCTGAGAGAGGGACATATGGTCACACGACCTCCTGGTTTGCCTCCAAAAGAGGAAAGGGAATACTTTTGGCTGCAGGGGGGGTATTTCTAAGTGGGAGAGAAAGCATTAGTTTGCCTTTCGTGGGCCCCTGTTTAACTTACTGATCTAAAGAAATCTTGGGTGAAAGTAAGTTTCTGATAAAGATCTAATTCCCTTTCTCCTTTCCCTACCTGGCTGGGGAGTTCCCATATAAGTAGGGCTGGATGGAAAAGGAGAGGGGGAAAAACCCTTGCCTGTGTCAAGAAACAAAATGACTCACACTAATAGCTCACAGGGAAGGAAAGAGGCAAACATTAAAAATGACTACATGGAAATTAGGAGAAATTACAAGCAATTAAATACTCTAAATCAGAGGTCTCTAACCTTGCCAAGAAAAAAAAATGCTGGAGAAAGCTCAGATGTGATAGTGCAGTTACAGCTAAGGGAAAATAAAACTTGGGCATGTAGGGAACAAGTACATTTCAGTCCTCCTTCATACCACAGTGGGTTTGGTTTGTAAAGCTTTGCTGGGGGGGGGACTGCTTTGTGTGGTTGTTTTTGAAGCCAAAAGACCTAAAATCATTTTGAACCACCAGGAACATGACCTCTTATGCTGCCCTGATCCTGCTTTCCCTTACGCACACCACCACAATGTGACAGCCTGGTCTGCACTCTGCTGGGTATGTTTCCTGGTTTTCCAGAGGCAAAAACTTCCTTGTGGGGTAAGAGAGTTTGGACACCAAACCTGTCACCAACTGACAAAATTGGACTGGGATATTCTAAAGGATTATCCACAGTTCTAGGGCAAAGAAACAAACAAGCCAACAAAAAGTCTGATTTAAACGAATGTAATATTTATTCTGTATTTTTTAATTATTGCTGTTGGGAGGATGTGCCCATCATTTCTTACTCCAAAAGCTCTCACTTATTTCCATGCCAGTATGATGACATTCATCACAAATCTAAACTTTTCCTGCTGAAAATCAGCAAGAAGAATCCTGGGATGAAGCTCTAGACAAACAATGACAGCAAAAGGCAGGACCTTTTGCTTCCTAAAGGCAGGACCAGGGCTTCCTAACAGGGGTCTACTCCACTGTGAGCACTGAGCTCCTCAAGCTTTACCCGCCACCATGCAGCCTAAGCGGTGTGAGCATGCAAAATAAGAAAGAAAGAACACATGGAATGGTAAACTGAGGAAGGAGAAGGGTTCTGAGGGCAGAGCCTGCTGTCTCACGTATCTCCTCATTTCACACAGACATCATTTGTAAAAGCACAAAACCCCAGTGATTTACTTACCGACCCTGGCAGTGGATGACACGCAGGACTTTTCTAAGCACAATGGAGGAGTCAAGCAACACCACTAAGCAAAGAGCTTGGGAGCAGCCGAGCCCCGTTTCCGTGACCCAGGAGTTGGGGTGCCATCCAGGATAAGGAAAAAAGACAAATTAAGCAGCACCCTGAAAATTACTCAAATGGGTCGTTAAACAAAAGTAAAGGACATCAGTTCTTGCTCCAGAATGGTGAAGTTACAAAGGTTATTAAAGCAGGCAAGATGCAATCATATTTGATTTCCAGCAGAAACAAGGTTGTGAATCCCCGATGGGTCAGTAGAAAGTGGAGCCAGGCTGGGCCTCCTCTGGGAACCTTCTCCATTGAGAACCACAGCAGCAATGAGATCCTCCAAAAAGTGCAAGTCCCAAATCAAAAGTCAAGCCACTATTAAAGGAAAGACATTTACAAGATCTAAAACTGTGCTAACCAGAGGTATTAAGATGTTGGAACTAAACCTGCCTTATTCCCGCTAGTGGTTGCATTTTAAGGAAACCTTTTAAAAGGATTATCTTCAGGAACTCTCTTTCAACAGCCTTTCCTTTAAGAGTCCTTCATGGTGATACTCTTATTAATTATGCTGTGTGATATGATTATGTATTTATTCAGGTATGGGTTGGAAACACGAAGCAAGGCTAACATTTGCAGGTGTCACTTACAATAAGGGATCTGGTAACTCCAGACTTTGATCTGGTTCACAGCTGTACAGGGGATCTGCAAGGGGCAGGCATCCATGAGGTAGCTGTTGTCACCAGGTTGTTTGATCTTGGGGTGATTGGCTGGTTAGTTTATTTATACATGGATTTTAAAAACAGAATGGTGAGGACCCCCCAAGCCCTGTCTGAGGCTCTTCTTAATGGCAACCATGAGAAAAATTACATTTGGATCTATATCCGTATCCAGCTGAAGATAAAGATGTATATTTTTATCTCTATATATAGGTATTTTCATATCTAGCTGCCTCTCTATTTACCTGTTTTTAACAATAAAAAGGCAACTCCTTACACAGCTTTTGATTCTATGTTTAGACCAGAAAAAGAAGTTATTCCTCATCCCTCCAGCCGGAAGGTCTCCAGGAAATGATGGATGATTTAGCAGCCTCCATCTTTGGGTGCACAGTCTTATCCTCCTTGTAACTATTCCTGCAAATAAGGGCCATCACACGGAGAGCATGGGAAGACAGAAGCCACCTCCCGCCGGGTACAGCCCCAGCAAGCAGCAGCCACGAGGAAGAGCTCACCTAGGGCAGCTTTGCTTTAGTGCTTGAGGTTGTTACTAAGAGTGAAAGAGGTTTGCTCTCAGGTCACTACTTCTATAAAAGAAATGGCATCTCAGGTTCAGGTACCATCCCAAATGCAAAAAACACAGATGTGGCCTTTACATTGTGAAGGTCTGAGGCCACCAGCCTGATTCCTGCCCTCCAGTACCGCACTCCCTCTATATGTGGATGGAGGAGGCTCTATGTGCCTCAATGCTCATAAAGGATACATGTTAAGAATGTAAGAAAATATTTTATGTTTATATACAAACATTCTGCTCCTATTCAGAGAGATGTTGCCATTGCACGTGCATGTGCATGGGCATCATATATATTGTGCATATATACAGCATACGCAAGCTGGATGTATGTTTAAATCTACGTACGTGTACTTACGATATATGAATGCTGTAAATATCTGTACAATATGCGTATATTTTATTTTATAGGCACGCACATAGGTAAAGAATGAACTGTTTGTATAACATAAGTATAGAGACACAATACATACATGTTGAGCACACGAACTCCGCTCTATATATATATTATATATACACATGTAGGGGCATATAGAACATCTGTATTGCATATATTATTTATAGATATACACAGACTTTTTTTCCCCAAACTCAAACATTTTCTTTTCCACGTTGCTGATTTACTTAAAAGTCTGTAACATAAAATAGGCGCTGGGTGGGTAAAGAAGGGAAACTTCGCTTTAGCTACTTCAGCTGAATCTCATATTATTTCCTTTTTTTTTTCTTAAGGAAACTTCATTGTATATTCCAAAAAAGTATATTGGTGGGGTAGGTTTACCAGAGGCAGAGAGAATGTGCAGAGAGTGAGAAAGTGAATTGATGGATGGATGGTTAAATGAATATAAATGAACTGATACCTTTACAGGAAAATAACATTTCTTTTCTTTTTTTTTATTCTATAGATCAGTGGGGTTTGTATCTGTAATTCTTTCATATCAGCAAAGAGGAAATAAACTCCCATGTAAATCATTTTGCCCCCATCTGGAAGCATATTAAAAGCATGCTTTTTTTTTTTTTTTTTCTTTTAAGCAGAGCCTTTTTTTCCCCCCATTTGCTTATCGGTTCATCCACCATTACATTTTAAATGAAACTGCAAGACCCCCCTCTTCTCCCTTTCTCTCCCCCCCCCCAAATTCCGGGCTGATGTCGGAAAGAGGGAATCAGCCTCTCCCATGCTTTAGAATAACTGACCTAGATTCAATTACAGATAGACCCGGCAGAGAGGACGGCACCTCGCTGCTTTCTCAGGGGTCTCTTAAAAAAAAAATAAAAAAAAAATAAAAAAGGGGGGGCAAAAAAAAAAAAACAAGACCCTCGCACACACCCAAAAAAGGGAAAATAAAAGGGATAAAGGGGGGGGAGGGCAGATAAACAGGCGGCTCCCACCAACAGCACCCGACTGCTGCAGGCGCCCGGACACCCCTCGCCACGCTGCCCCGCACAGAGCCCCGGCTTCGCTGCAGCGCCCTCCCAGACGGTGCGGCCGCTGTCCCGACAGCAGGGACGGGGCTGCTCAGCCACACACCCCCGGCTGTGGGTTCTTTGGGGGGGCCGCTTCTGAAAGCATGGCTTTTGGGAGGTGGGGGAGCGTCCCGGTTCTCACCGCTGCCTCCCGGGCGGGAGCGGGAAGAAGCGGAGGGCTATCCCGGGAGGAGAGGGGAGCATCGCTGCTCTCCCTTCCTCTCCACCGAACAGGGTAGATGTCGGGGGGTCCCATCCACCCCCTCTACAGGGCCAAGGGAGCTGCGGCAGCACGGGGAGGGAGGACGGGGGGGGGGCTCAGGGCCCGCAAGACGTCTTGTTTCATCTCAAAGTGGGACCGGGTCCGCTCTAGGACGCGCCGTTCGCAAATACAATCTTCATATTCAGTTCAATGGAGTCTCCTTATAATTTACAGTGGAGAGATAAGGCTGGAGGATGCAATGGAAAAGAAAAAAAATCTGAAGTCATCCTCTCCCCCCCTGTACTGCGCTGCACCTTGGGCAGCGGAGCAGAATCCAGAATCTCAACTTCTCCCGACATATGTTTCCAGCAGATAAGTAAACAATCTGGACGTGAAATGAAAATTTTAATTAATGCAGTAATGCTATTACACCTCAAGTGTGCAAATCCCATTGCCTTGCACTGTGACAATGGGTGGGAAGGAGGAAAGAAAGCAGACAGACAACAAACCACAAGCAAATTCTAATCTGGGTTTTGCTTTTCACTCGGCTCCAATTGTTTTCATAGTTTGTTTCCTTTGAATTAATCTCATCCTTATATTTCAATAATTACCAGCTACTCATCTCTTCCCCTCTTTCTCTCACACACTCAAAGAGCCGGCTCCCTCTCCCTCGCTCTCCTTTTTAAATAGGATCAACCTGTATTTAATTTCTAGGCTTTTAGGCATACACATGTTGGCTCGTTGCAGTGTGGACATGCAGCGACCCTGCACGTTACTTCTTGTTTAGCTTTCTAAATGCGGCGCATTCAGTAATAATGAAGTATTTTGCCCTAATAAAAAGGAAAGGAAGGGGGAAAAAAAATAATAAAGGCTGGGTTGTCCCTTTGATGTTGGTATAAAACACCCCAACTGGAACAGAGGCGTGTGAAGGAAGAAGAGACACGGAAGCAAAATTAAGGACAGAAAGAGAAAGAAAGGGGGGAAGGTAAATTGCAGGCACATCAAAAGCAGTGGCAGAGGCTGCCTCACTCCGCAGCGATGAGCAGCGCGGAAAATGCAGCCCGCTCTTTCCCCGCGGCCCGAGGGGGGAGAGGCAGCAGCAGCGGGCTGGGCTATAGTTAGCTCAGTAGTAATTTTATCGTGTTTTAAAGCATTTTCTATGTTTTGATTTGTTTTCTAAGGGAGGCGGTGAGCACTCTCCAGGCGGGGGGACACTCCTGCTTGCGCTCTGCCAGGGCCGGGTTCTCCTCTGCCCTCGGAAGCCGGAGCAGTTGCGGAGCACGGAGCCGGGGCGACCGTAGCCCCACGCGTGGGTCCCCGGCCCGGTGCGGTGCGGCCGGTCGGGGCTGCTGGGAGCGGAAGAGGAGGAGGATGTGTTTCTGATCACCGCTTACTTTTAAACACTACAATCAAGGGATGTAGCCAGGAGGTCGGGCCTGGAATAAAACCGTAAAATCAGAAATGCAATCTTTTTGATGTTTCAAAGTCTCTTTGAATGCCTTTGATACACTCAATAGCAAATTTACCGGGCTATTATCACTAATAAGCAGAAATAAGTAATATCTCTCAGAGACTTCTATGGGCTTAATGTGTCCTTTAAAATAAAGTTTTTTAACATCATATAATTCCCTTTCTGCCTTTGTCTCTCCTGCGAGCAGAGCTCCCTGGTGATCGCGTGGCAACATCTGGGCACCAGCTAGGGTTCTCCCGGTTCTTTCTGCCCCCCGACTTCTTCCCTTTTTCTCTCTATTTGTTGTTTTGCTTAAAGGAATGCCAGGCTGGATGCCTTTAAGTGTCTAGGTGGTCCTGCAGGCAGCGCTGAGCCAAAACAGAACCATTTTCCGGGGAGAGAGGAGACGAGATGAGAGGAGATGAGACGAGAGGCAAAAGAAAAGAAAGAAAAGAAAAGAAAAGAAAAGAAAAGAAAAGAAAAGAAAAGAGAAGAAAAGAAAAGAAAAGAAAAGAAAAGAAAAGAAAAGAAAAGAAAAGAAAAGAAAAGAAAAGAAAAGAAAAGAAAAGAAAAGAAAAGAAAAGAAAAGAAAAGAAAAGAAAAGAAAAGAAAAGAAAAGAAAAGAAAAGAAAAGAAAAGAAGGGCAGAGGGGAGCTGTGGGGGGTGAGAGGGCCCGGTGGTGAGGAGCGGCTCGGGCCCGGGGCAGCTGTTCGCCGGTCCTCGCCTGGCGAGCGGCTCCGCTCGGCTGCGCTCAGCTCCGCGAGGCTGCGCGGGTGCGGGCGAGGCTCCGTGGCACAGCCCGGCCCAGGACAGCGCCCGGCCGCGCACCCAAGGCGTGGTGCTCATAACCCCGCGGCCTTTGTTTAATGATTTTATTGAAAGAAGGAGACAGTTGTGGGGAAACAGGTTTGACAAGGAGCTGCATTTTCCCCTCGAGGGAATAGCTTTTTTCCTCCCTCTCTCTCTCCCCCTTTCTTTCTGTTTTTAGTTTCCCTTTGACATCAAAGTCAGTAATCGGTTCATTGCAGTGTCAAGATCATTATTTAATTTATTTATCTCCACGAGTTAAATAGCTACACACCTGCAGACAGGCGAGAAAGTTGGAGGAATAATACGGCAGGGTAAATGGAAACGGAACACACGGCAAGCAGGGGCAGTGGAGGGGAGGTTTGGCAGGGTGAGCGCGGCGGGAGGGGGTAGACGAGAGAGAAAGGGAAAGGGAACGAGGAGCAAGAATATAGAAGCAAGCAAATGGGGGGGGGGGGGAGAAAAAAGAGAAAGAAAAGATGAGAAAGAAAGAAAGAACGAAAGGAAAGAAACAGATTAAAAAAAAAGAGAAAAAATGAGAGAGGAAGACAGATGGAGAGATTAAAGGGAGGAAAACAAATACATGAAGACAAGAAAGAGAGAAAGAAGAAAATGAAAGAAGGAAAAAAAAGGAAAGAAAAGAGGAAAGAAGGAAGGGAAGAAGCAAAGAAAGAAAGAAGGGAGGAAATAAGCAATAAAGGAAGGAGGAAAGAAAGAGCAAAGAAGCAAAAAAGAAGAGAAAGGTGGAAAGAAGCAAGAAGAAAAGGAAGTAGGAAGAAAAGATACCCGCTAAACTTTCAAGCCCTGTCAGAAGAAAAGATCCCCGCTAAAGTTTTCAGCCCAGTCTCTTCGCACTCGCCCACCTCGTCCCGATTTTGCCCCGAGCACCCCGGCCCCCACCGAGCCTGCTCCTCTCCGCAGCCGCCGGGGCCGCCCCCGGGAGCAGCTCCCGGACGTGTGCCTCGGCCCGGTCCTGCAGGCTCAGGGGTACGGAGGGTCCCACCAAAGCTCTGTTGCGGTGGGGAGCGGGGGGGTACACAGTGCTCCCCCCTGGCTGCTCTGCCCCCTTCTCCTGCGGGGCCCGACGGGCCACGGGCAGGCTCTTTCCCCGCCTCGCTCCCGCTCCGACCATTGTCAGACTAATCTGGGTGGATGTTAAAGGACACTGAGCTATCGGTGTTATCACCCAGACTGACAGCAACTGTCAGCTGGGGTTAAATCAGCACTCGGCGCTCCCGGCGCCGCGCCGCGCCTCCCTGCCCCACGCCGGGCGCATTCAGCCCCGCGCGTCCCAGCGGATCGCCCCGCTGCTCCCAGGCCCTCCCGAAGCCAGCTCCTTTAATTGTCCTCATTTGTAAGAGCCGTTTTGTCATGCTAAACAAGGCTGGAGCAGCCATTCTAACCTCTCCTTTCAGCCCTTTTCTCCTCTCCCCTTTTGTTTACCTTAGTCTGATCTCTCATTTATTTATCTATCTATTCTTCCTCTGCTTACCCTCCCATTCAAGCCCCATGTATGTTAATTGTGTTATGCCGTTTAATTCTAACATCGGTCTCCAAAGAGCACTTAATGAGCAAAGCACATCCAAACACGCATCTCTCCGGCTATTCAGCTCATCCAGACGGACCTCTTACTCCTTCTCCCCATTCTGCAGCGAGACTCCCTCCCTTCACAAAGGGGCGCCGAAGAATAGTCCTTTCCTCTTCCCCCTCCACCTCCAAATCACTAATTGATCCGGACAAGACGCTAATTCCAACCCACTCCCTTCATCACCAACAACACCAGTCCCCCCTTCTTCCCCCACCCCCCCATTCCAAATCTCTCCTCGCACCGGTAAAACTTCAACGCCCCAAAGACAACTTGGGGAAGGCTGGTTCCCCGACGGGACGGGGTCCAGGGCTGAAGGAAACAGACCCCCGCAGATACTCGGGTTTGCCGCGGCTCCATCCTCGCTTTTCGGAAGTTTTCCTACTCCACAGCCGCATTTTCCCCGACGGGCTCCAAACAGAGCCCGGCCCGGCCATTTCGGCTCCAAACCGGCCCCGACCCGGTGAGATCGGCTACGTAGGGGGTCGGGACGGGGAGAGTGGCAGCGAGCGGCGGGGCTGCGGGCGGAGCTCGGCCCTGCCACTGGGAGCATCGCCCGCAGCCCCCGGCGCTCGCCGGTGCGGGACGCGGGGCTGGGAGGCGAGGCACCGCATTTACACCACGCAGTTGCCCCGTTCGATGACAGATTGTCTTTATTCAAAACGTCTTTTGTTCAACAAATGAAAAGGTTTAACGAGGTAAAATCCTGCCGGATACATATTCCCCCCCCTCCCCTTTTTCTTCTTCCCCAAGACATTGTGAAAACATGTTGAAATTACCCTCTGTCTTTACTCGTTTTTTTCGTTATTATTATTATTATTAGTAGTAAGTTTTTACAATTCTACTGCCTGACTTCATACCTGACGCTCTGTCTAAAGTAAACTTAGGTCTAGTCTCACTGGATCACACAAAATCAAGGACTATTTGTTTTAAATTAAGCAAACACTATCTTATGCTTTAAATATAAATGTTTCTCCCTTTCTCTCCCTCTCTCTTTTTAAACTTTGAAGAGCCTTTTTCTGACATGAAAAGCAATTTTACCTAGTAGTGCGTGGTGACAAAATATATATATTTATATATATATAACACAGCTGATCTCGTCTTTTAATGTGCAAAAGGAAAAAGATAATAAAAGGAATAATCAGAGTAAGATCGGGACATCCCAAAGTCAAGTCCAAGTGACATGAGACCCTGGAGAACTCATAGACATTAAGAGAATAAATAAAAATCGAAACCGCCTCTTTTTTTTTTTTTTTTCCTTTTTCTCCCCCGCTTAGTCCCGAAAGGGCAGTTCAAGGTTCGCTTTTTTCTTGCTTTTTTTCCTTTTTTAACACATTTACAACTCTTACAAGTGCCGGGCTCCTATCTGACCCCGCCATTGCAGATCCCCCCCGAGCCTGGGGCCAGCTCTCAGGGCGAGGTTTATAGGCGAGAGCATCTCCAAGTCCCCGAGGCAGTGTCCGCGTCTGTCCCGGCCCGGTGGCGGGCAGCAGAGTCCTGTTTCAGGGTGGCCTTTTGCTCCTGCAGGGTTTATGTACATGCACACGAAGGAATCCCAGTTCCGGCTGCCACCCGGGGACACACACACGCCTGTGGGGGTGTGGGTGGGTGTTACATGGCAGTCGCATGTGCTGAAGAATAGGGGTCTATCCCAGTCTTGGTCATGCCTGGGAATAATATGTAGGCAACTGGAGGTTGCAAACTGGAAGCAGACCAAGCGGTACAGTTACATGGCACGACATAGCCCGGGTTAGTTGGCGAGGGGTGAGTGTGGGTGTGTTGGCTGGGGCAGCTCAAGCTGCCGAACGCCCCGTTCTGGTATCCCAAGGTGGAGGCGTAGGGCAGGGTGCTGGTGGCTAAGGTGTGAGGAACCTCAGTCATCTTCTGAATGGCGCTGGAGCTGAACTGGCTGGGGTCAAGTAAGGAGTAAGGTGCTGAGGTGGGAGGCAGGAAAGCCCTGGCCTTCTCCGGGGAGCTCAGCAGAGAGTCAGTGGCCCCCACGGGAAGCCCGGCGGCCTTTAAGGGATCGGTTTCCCCGAGGTAAGGCAAAGGGAAGACATACCTGTCCTTTTTGAGCAGGTTCTTGGGCTTGCGCCGGGGTCTGTACTTGTAGTCGGGATGCTCCTTCATGTGCTGCGCCCGCAGCCGCTTGGCCTCGTCGATGTAGGGACGCTTCTCCGCCTCGGAAAGCAACTTCCACTCCGCGCCCAGCCGCTTGCTAATCTCCGAGTTGTGCATTTTGGGGTTCTCCTGGGCCATCTTGCGCCGCTGACCGCGGGACCACACCATGAAGGCGTTCATGGGGCGCTTGATGTGGTCGCTGGGCTTGGACATGCTTCGGGCGGGCGGGCGGGCGGGCGGGCGGGCGGCTCGGCGGGGCGCTGCGGTGTAGGGCGCGCTGGGGGCGCCGGACGGCGGCGAGAAGTGGAGGAGGCAGAGGAGGAGGAGGCCGAGGGAGCCGGAGGAGCAGGAGGAGCGGGCTCAGCTGATCATCACAGGTCCTCCGCCAACGCCGTCCCCGGCGGGAGCCCTGCCGGGGCGGGGCGCTGAGCGGCGAGGAGCAGCGCGGAGGGGCGCGGAGCGGCGGCCCGCGGGGCCCGGCGGGCGGCTAGGCGGGCGGCGAGCCGCCGGGCGCTGCTGCGGGCCGGCGGTGGGGAAGCAGAGCAGCGCGGGGCAGTTCAAAGGCGAGGGGCTGCGGCGCGCAGGCTGACATAGCGGCAGGGCGTTCACAGCGCGGCCGGGCGCCCAATCAGCGCGGAGGGGGACCCGCTTAAAAAGAGAGGGAGAGAGGAAGAGCGAGAGGAAGAGGAGGGGAGGGGATAGGGGAGGGAGGAGGAGGAAGAAAGGAGGACACCCCCACCCCCCCTTCAAACGCGCAGATTAAAAGGAAGGCTTTTGTGAGTTGCTGTGCTAATAGCAGCTGCGGGGGAGGCAGGACAAGCGGGGGGGTCATCCCCATCCTTTCCCCATCCTACCGGTGTGCGGAGCGGGGCCGGCCCCGACGCCCTCCTGGCTCGCCGCCGCCGTCGGGGCTCCGCTCGCTGCTCTCCTCCGTGCGTCGGACCGCTCTCCCGCTTACAGCCCTCCCCCTACCCGCCTTCCCGCTCCGCAGCCCCGCTTAACCCCGGGAGCCGGCCCGCGTCCCGGCTTGCTTTGAATAATTGCCTGCCTCCCGCGAAACGCCCGTGGGGAAAATATTTATTAAATGGAAACAATTGTCCCGGCTCCCGAGGGGGACCGCGTTTGTTCCAGGCTTATTGGTTTTTAGCACCTGCTTTGGTTAACAAACCTGCTCCGAAAAGCCCCCATCGGGCCGCCCGCTACCCCCCGCCTGCCCGTTTCCGAGAGCGACCGAAGAGAGAAACGAGAATTCGGGCGGGCGGCGCGGCAGCGGAAGGCTCCCCAGGCCGGATGGGGGTGCAGCGGCCCCGGCCCCTCCTGGCTCCCCCCCACCCCTCGCCGGGGCACGCCTGTAGCTCCACCTGTAACTTCATCTCCCTCCCGGCCGGGAGCCGGCGTCGCTGTCCTTTCGGTGCAGGGGTGCCGCTATTGGTGGGTGTCCCCTCGTCCAAATAATAATAATAATAACGGTGTAAACCACCCACAACCTTATTTTCTGTTTTCTTCTTGCAATAAATGACTTTCATTTCCCGGCAGAGCCGTGTGAGTGCGGGGCTGGGGTCGAGGAGAAGGAGGAAGAGAAGGAGGAAGAAGAGGGGGGGCATATGGTCTGCTCACCTGGATGGGGCCGGCAGCGCCGGAGGCTTTGACTCTGCTGCCGCCAGGCCATCCCAGCGGCTTTTTTCGTTGCCCCCAGAAATGAGCCGCGAATTTCTCCACGCTCGCCGGGACCCCCGTGTTCAGAGCGGGAGCTGCGGATCTTCCCGGGGGGCAGCGGATCTTCCTCGGGAGAAAACTTCCCCTTTCGAAGTTGGGCTCCCTGAGCCTCCCCGTTCTCCCAGCAGCCGCTGCCGTGCATACGGGACAAGCAACCAAAACAAGGAGGGTAGAGGAGGCCCCTGCCCGCAGCTGCCCCCGTGGGCGCCTGCTGCGTTACCCCCCTCTGGAACCTCCGTGCCACGCGTGGTCCCGGTATTCCCGTCGGGGCGCTCACCGCTGGCCGGGGCGGGGACTTCCGAGCGCTGCCCCGGCCCCGGCGGACACCTGCGGGCTCGGACGCGGCACTGGAAGGGCGACACGCATGGAAAGTTATTTTTCACTCCCCTTCCCCAGAGGCAGCAGCGATACCAGCGGCCCCGGCTGCTGCCTCTGTGTCCCGCGGAATGGCCGCGGCTGGGCGTGCGCGGCAGCGCTTAACATCCGCGGTTAAACCCGAGCTGGCGCCTCTTCCCCCGACCCCCTCTCCTCAATATATCTTGTTATCCCCTCCGCCGTTTAAACTACAAAACTCCCTTTGTTTTCATTGTTTATTCTCAGATTCTTCGGGGGGGGGGGGGGGGGGGGGGGAGGGGGTGGAGAAGGGAAGGGGGAATTATATAATTCTTCATCCCTATCAAAGATTAAACGAAGGAAACCTGGCGTCGTTCTCAAAAATCCGGGTAGCAAGACAAACCGTTCGGAAGGGAGGATGGCTCGTAGGCTCTGCCTGCTCCCGAAAAGTCTTCCCAACCAGTTAAACGTTACACCGCAGTATTAATGATAAAAAATCGGCAGCCTGGCTTTCATTGGCTGGTGCCTTTGCCTTCATGCATCATCCCACACTCTCCGATCAGCTCGGGGCATTTCGGGCTCTGTTTTGTTCATCTACATCCCGTATATGCTCCCGTTTAAAATAGAAGGCAGAGAGGAAAAGAAAGATTTCCTTCGAGATGCCAACGCTTGAACTTTTAAATACTTCCATTTTTACCCTAAATCAGCTGTCTTGGAAGGGCATCTGTTGGAGTTGTAGAACCCCTGAGGACGGGTTTTATAAACTTCGCATCTTTGGGTTTTTTTACTTTGAGACAGAAGCGATTTCCAAGGCGGTGACTGAAATCCTTTTCTCCTCGCCAGCTTGTTTAGACACCAAAACTAATAGTGCGATTATTATTCCTGAATGATATCATGGTAATGCAGAAAGATAAGAACGACCTGATATGGAAACATTAAAATTATATTCTTGGAGGTAGTTCATTTGGAGTAACTTGAAATTAGATGACATCATGTAGCCTGAGATCTAATATCAGCATAAATAGAGCTGTATTTCTGCCTTCATCTTCCTCCTCCTCCTCGCAGGAATCACGGTCGGGCTTGCAGAGTTGCAATTGCCAAAAGTAGGAGGCGAAGAGCTGTAATTTGAAAATACACCCGATCCAAACTTTTACTTGCTGGAAAATAATGGATATTTTAAAGAACAGGGTTTTTTAATGCTTCAGGTCCTAAGAAAGAGGGTAGATTTGAATTTATTTTGAATTGAAGGGAGCACGTTTTGGAAAGACTTTCAGGTTTCTGGTGCTTTTCACAGGCACTGAGGACACCAGTCCTCCTTGCTGTTCTGAGTGACCTGGTGAGATTCCCACCGTGCTTTTTACAAATACATAGAACTAGCTGAGTGCACAGATTGATACTCTCATATTTGGTTATTTTACATGAAGGTGCATGCATACATTTGTTTATGCATGTGCCACATATTTTAAAAACACCCATTTAATTGCATGCCATCATATAATATTTTCTGATATATATAAATATGTATGTAAAATGGATGCATACAGCTCACACAAGCACACAGCTCTCACAGTATTCACAGATACTGTGTGGAACAGAATATATATTTATGGACCCTTCTGTGTGCATGTTTGCAGTATTCCTTGCTTGGTCCCCCTCCAACCCTGAGAAAAGCATTCATGAAGCTACAGTTAGAAGCAGTGACACTGTTTCAGACTTCTGTATGGAGTCTGTAAAATCTCTGCATGGAGAGATTTAATGGAGGAGGTCACTGCCCTGTACATACATGACAGAAGAGGGTAGCAGTGATGGATGTGGCAGACCGGATCATCCCAAGATCTGGTGTGCCCAGTGACTGCTTTATCACACTGGCCAACAAGAAATGCTTCCTGGGAAGGCACTATGCTCTGTGGGAGACAGTTGTAGAATAACTTGCTAGAAAAATAAAGATTTACCTCATCTCCCATTACTTAGGACCTGGCTTATGCCCTGAGCCTGAAGTTTACAGCCCTTTCAAAACTTCATTTTTGTTCTGCTCATTTTATCTAGCCTTGGCACTACATGATCTGCTGTGAATACCCTGCCCTTTGACAGAGTGCTATATGCATTTATAACACTCATTTCTCACAGGTGATCTGTTCATTACACTTTTGCAGCATTCCTTTTTGCTGTAGTCTACTGTTAATGAGGAAGGTGATGCGTATTTTTGCACCAGAGGATTTTCCTCCTGGTGATAACTGTGCAGTGTGGTCAGTCCTTCTCAGGATCTACTGATGCTGGGAAACTTGTTGCCAGCTGACACCACCAGCAGGTCCAGCACATTTTACTGGTGTAAGTCTTGGGCTGGGTGAGTCAGTGGCACTACTGTACAGCATAATTTTGTGCCCCAATTTATAGCAGCCTTCATGAATGATAACATTAAACATGGTTCTCTGTATGTGTTCACGTGGAAATGCTCCATTGAGCCATACTGACTGCAGCCAGGCCAGCAGCTACTTGGGTTGACATTCCTGTCACTGTGAAGTGCATAATGCTGGGGCAGAGAACACCAAAAATGCCCATGCAGAGCCAGACAGCAGCAAGAGACTCCTGGGGCAGGGCCAACTCTGTGCCTTCTCCTTAACAACATTAGTTGTTAAATGATAGCTAACAAATGGCTGAAGAGTAGTTCACCCTTTCCCAGTGAGAACTGCCCAATGGAAACCCAGCAGGATCCCCTTATGTTGGGTAGACCCCATGAAGTCCTTGGTGCATCAGCCCAAATCCCGAGGAATGGGAAGGATCCATGGAGATCACTGTTTTCTCTGCAGCAAAAGCAGCAGGAGGGAGAGCTGATGAGCCTCTCCAGTAAATAAGTACATTCACTGTGGCCATACATGTAAACCCAAGGGCTTGACACACAATTGACTTTCTAGATATTGTATGGCCAGGGAGCTTCAGTCATTGTCAGCAACATGAAGTGAAGGATAAATGACCTAAGCTCAGAAGTGCAGAGCAGGCTTGTAAGGAAAGGTAGTATCTTTTATTAGACCAACTGATACAGTCAGAAAGAACCAGACAGGCTTTCAGGCACACGAGCTCTGAAATAGAAGCAGCAACTTTCACGAAAAGTGCCAAGGCTGAACTGTTTATCTCATGTACTCACCTGCCTCTGTTTCTGGGGATGCTGATGGCTTCATTGGCTGCAATACAGCCATCCTCACTGGTGCAGGATGAAGCACAGAAGTCTGATTATTCCCAGCTACATGTCAGGCATGGAGAAATGCAGAGGCTGCTCCAAGGTTGGCTTAAAAGCTTGGGGTAGGAGAAGGAAGTGACCCGCAGGGCTTGGTATTTCAGGTGAGCTCTGGAATAACCTTTTTCTGGATCACTGACCTCAGTCAAAAGCTGCATGTGGAAAGCACGTGGAGCTCAAATGTAGCCAAGTGTTGTGTTCTGCAAA